GTGGTGTGAAACGTAATACGTGTGCTGTGGCTGCGTGGTTATGTTTTCCTACGGGTGCGTACAGTGGAGTGAGGTTCTTCAGAAACAAACTGGTATGAGTACAAGTAAGAGTACCAGTACACGTACCAGGTACGTGCTGTGCACTCTACGGTACTCTTACACCTAATTGCCAGAGCTTCAAAGGGTACGAACGAGCTCAGTACCGTATTAAGTGAGCACTCGTACAGTATGGACGGAAAGACATATTCCGTTTTTTGTTTTTTAAGAACGAATCAATAATACGAAGTAATCAATCAGGCAGTATCCTATCCTATCCTACCGTACGTACGTACGTACATTAAAGTGTTTGTTACTGTATTACAGCAGTAGTGTCTACAAACATACTTGTGAGACCTACAAAACGTAAGAAAATATAGAAACGAAATCCATCTGTCGTTGCACCGTTGTTTTTACTCGTGAACGCGTACCACCGCCCCATACAGAACGAGTTTTTGCTCGACGCGACACCATGCGCCTTGTGACCGTTTGATGTCGACGTCTTTGGTTTCCATCGATCGATGACCCTAAATGTTCGTACAACACTCGTACGAGATACCMACTACCATTGTCCTTGCTGCACATATCCCTATCGTCCCCGTGGCAGGAGGCTCCGCAATAATCAATCAAGACCCCGCACCGCACCGCAACCCAAAGAAAGCAAGAACCAGCACGGAAGCAGGAAGAACGAGCAAAACAAACCGAACCATCATGGTAGCCATTGGTGACGAAAGCACGGATCGGCGCCCGCGCCGGACCCGCGAGGAACGAAAAAAACGAGCCGCGAACCGTCGAGCCCCCTCGTCGGTCAATACCATCGTTTTCAACCCCTTCTTTCTCATGCTGCTGGCGCTGGCAACGATCTCGTGCCTGATCTCGTTCTTTCTGGTCCTGTCGCACCCCGAGGCAGCCCAGCCGGCGGCCGATGCCATGCCGGTTACGAAGGCGGGCCTCCGGATCCCGCCGAGAGACAAGGCCAATCCGTTGCCGCACAAGTTGAGTGACGAGGAGCAGAGGCGGCTGATCACGGGAAAGAAGGAGGATGACGAGGATGCTTCYGGAGACGACGAAGCCTCTGGAGACGACSAAGAAGACAGCAAGGAAAAAGTCGTTAACCAGAAAGTTACCACCAAAAAACAACTCAAGATGGCCAACCACGAACCCAAACTCACTCCGATCTACACCGATATCAAGCCCTTTGAYACGAGTCTCCCGACACCGCACCTAATTCCCAAGGTCCCGCCCCTTCCCRTCTTCAACGAAGTTCCCAACGGTGATGCGTTGATTGACGATTTGCTGCACCACAACAAACCGACTGTTGCCGGTGTGATTGCCTTTTTCAATAGGTATCTCCAAAAGTTGCACACGCAGAACAAGGAAAACAGTAGAAAGGAACACCGAGACAAGACGGGACAAAACATCGATGAGATGTCCTTGATCAACTCCTACTTCGATTTGACCGTCAAGGAGATAGAGCCACTGGAGCAGGCCTACCGGGGCCGAACCATTTTTCCCGTCCGTGACGACGAGTCGCTCTACATTTCACTCGCGGCCTTTCGGGAGCACTTGCTCGGAAAGTCCTTGATGAGTGCCTTTGACAAGGCCAAAGACCCCAGCAAGCTCTTCTTTGGAGCCGTCGTTCAGAATTGCTTCGGTCTCGACGGAACCGTCTGTAAAACTGGCATGGTGGTCGTCGGAAAGGACAAGAACGGAAGAGACAAGACCTCGGTCAGTCCCAAACCACCAGACGAAAACGGAATCGAAGAATTCTGTACCCATAAGGACTATAAAAAGTATTGCGACAGCGGACAAGTCCGGGCCTTATATGTTCACGATACCGACGCACTTGGACCCCAAACGGCGCGATTCTACGCCAGCAAGCTGTGGGGAGGAGAAACCTACTTCATGCAGATGGACGCACACCTTGAGTTTGCACCCAACTGGGATCAATACTACATCGACGAGGCCAAGGCTTCCAAGAATTACCCCAAGTCGGTTCTGTCGGCCTACCCACCCGGCTTTCAAAAATACGATGGATCGTACAAGGGAGGAACSCCCGGGGCCCGATTGTGCAGAGCCGTCTTTTCGGATAGCCCCGTGGAACACCACATTCTCCGCATCAACCAGRCCGGAAACACCCCCAGAGACGCCAAGTTTCCGACGCAGATTCCGTTCATCGCTGCCGGATTTTTCTTTGCCCACGCCCAGTTTTTGGTCGACGTGCCGTTTGATCCGTACGCACCGTGGTGTTTCATGGGGGAAGAAATCGCACTGAGTCTGAGAGCATGGACCAGCGGATGGARCATYTACGCTCCCCGGAAGAACATGATTGCCCACCAATACCGGCCGGGGCGATTGGGTCTGCCCAAGTTTTGGGAATCCGTCGGACGGGATTCTGGMCGGGCGTCGCTGAATACGCGCTTGCAGAAACACGTTCTCAGGCGCGTGAAGTACATGCTCGGCTACCCCACCGATAGCGAGGAGGCCATTGCCAGGGACGGCGACAGTGTCGCCCTCACACTTTTCGAGAATTATTCCCTGGGACACGAGCGAACCCTCGAAGAGTACCTGGAATGGACCACGATCGATCCGATCCACGAGAAGGTAGGACGGATGGAGTGGTGCGACCGATCGCAACTGCCATAACTTCCCGAGAACAAAAAAACGGAAAAAATGGGAATAGCCTGAAGAAAGAAKTATGCAATACACGGTCTCGGCAATGGAAGAGGCCAAAAAAACCATCAATGCGTTCGATTCTGTTCTGGGAAGAGACCGTGTGCTATTTCTATGTGAAGACACAGCACTACTTCTACTATTCGCTACAACTAAAATACTTTGAAACTCCAATTTGCAAAGGAATTAACCTAGAAATTATGTTAGCGATGCGCTTTGTTACACTACGGTGATACAAAGCTCTTCCAAAAGACGTCCTTGATCCAGGGTTCGACCTCCGTCAATCCCGTCCGCTCGTCGGCCATCCCCAGGGGRCACCTTCGGGTMCCCCCCAGAGCAGCCAGCCTCGCATCCAGCTGCTCCGCGGCCTGGTTGCAGTCCTTGGCCGCCGTCGTCTGCCGATCCAGCAGCAGGTTCGAATCGCCCAACCCAAGAACGGCAAAGGACAGAGCAGGACTTTCGAGGAGGTCGCCSGGGTGCGTCTTTCGCTTGAAAAAGCGCAGGACGGAACCCCCCTCCTCGGTGGGGGCGGCGTTCTCGATCGTCTGCAGGATGAAGCAGAGGACTACTTTTTCGTCGTCGCCGCCCCTGCCTGTTTTGTAGTCTAGCAGGGTTTTGGGCCGTTCCGAGGCGCAGCGGAGAGTGACCTCGACGGTCCCACATTCCTTCGGTCGGAGCGCCTCGATTTGTTCMGCCACGTCCCTCGCGAGTTCGCCTCCGTGGACGACAACGATCTTGGTCGCCATCTTCTCGCTGTTGTCGTTTTGGTGAATGTTGCTGCTGATGACGATGCTGCTACTGCTGCTTCTAGCTCCGGATGCTTCTTCTGCRGATCCCGAGCGACAGTGTATGCCTCTGCGTTGCGCGGATGAAATACTGTTGTTACTGACTACAGTATTAAAAATACAACACAACCCACCACTAATGCGTCAAACGTGCTTTCGAAATCCGATGCACGTGCTTGAAGACAAATCGCTAGAAAAAGGCACTCTGTGTGAGTTGAAATACCAAATACCGCATTCCCTTCYCCACATCATTCATCATTCAGATTTCAAAATATTATGCATGGTATGACACAAACATACCTTGGCGGGAAACGTACGTTGAAAAATGAACAGACTTTATCCATGGTCTTCGCGCCAAAACATTGACCACGAAATACAATAATACGAAGTACATAATACAGTATTGGAATAAAGTACGAGTACCAGTACTTACTGTACGATACTAGAATAGATAGAATAGACTAGACACTTGACGCAAGAATACGTAGGTACGGTAAATCTACAGTTCGTTCTACACACTGTAGTTCGTACGGTGTTAATTAAAAGATGTGCAAAAAGGAGCTGGTACGATYACCCTACGAACTGGTAGTGTCATACGTGAGGTCGTAATAATTTATTTTTTGCAAGTTCTGTYCTTCAATGATCTACGGTACGGTACATTCGCTGCTTCAGCTGTAAGTTATAAATCCTCATAACGGCACCACAACTAACAGGCAGAGGTGCTGTGCACACCAACAAGAACCTATGCTAAGTGTTCGCTCCCGCAGTAGGACAAGGCAATCGTTTCTRATTTTTCCCACCATTGAATCTTAAGCGAGAGAAGAAGAGATAGATCGAGATGTCGAAGAGYAGTAGTATGAATGGCAGTGGTGTCGATCCGACGACGAATGGCAAGAAAGGGAATGCCAACGAAAAATCGATATCGCGGAAACAACAAAAGCTAGAGGCTGTCAACGCATCGATGAGATCGAACGAAGATGATCTCGCGTCGAGCAAAGTAGAAGTATTGCTTTTTCAGAATCGTGTCTCGTCCCTCGAAAGCACGATCCTAGCCGGAATCCAGGAAAAGGCRAAGCTGCTAGCAGCCGAAGAAACTTACAAAAGCAAAAGCGAAGACAAGAAAACTACTGATGGGCAAAAAGAGTCGGTKCAACTGCTGGAACTRCAAGCGAAACTCAAGACGAGCGAAGCCGACCTTGCCACAAACAAACTGGAATTGAGTCGTCTCCGAGATCGTGTCGTGTCTCTTGAATACAAAATCATTGCAGAAATCCAGGAAAAAGCGCGGATAAACTTGATGAATGAGGATGGTGATGCACCAGAATTTTCGATAGTCTCTCCTACCAAGCGCCAGAAGAAAGTGTAGAGAAGGCAATGAATAGGCACGATCCATCGCGTTGGAACAGCACCCTGTTGTTCCGGCAAAAAGGTATGTTTCATACGCATACTGTTTTATGCGAATGAAAATTAGAACTAAACGAGAACGGGGAATTAAGAGTTATGATAGAAGAATACGAAAGTATAATTAAGAAAGAATGCAGTAATGCACTTGTAAGAAATAGTATGACTGCGGTACCCGTACAAGATATCTGTCAGAATTTATGCAAAGAAAAGAAGCACGCACAATATACAGTATCGTTCAATTTAGAAGAAGGCCATTATTACGATTCCATATCACAACGGCAATTGGTAAACCCTCACTCACATGTCAACTTCACAAAGTGATAAYCAGAACTTTTGTTCTCATGCAAAACAATACCAATTTGTTTGCYAACTTTTACCATCCTTTGGCTCGTTTCCCGCAATATTTCCCGCAATACTCCACATACTACATACAGTAGTACGGTATGGTACGTACCCGTACGMGGACGTATTACTGTAAATAATTATCGTTCGTTACGAGTTACTTCGTACACATTACGAGTACCAGGTACTGTACCGTCCGGTACCGCACAGTACGAAAGAGTTCGGGGTGTGGAATTCATAAAATGATTCATAAAATGATAGTCGAACAAATCGAACATCAATCGAAACTCATCATGATGCATCGCGTTGACCATCAAAAAATTATCGGCCATCAACGACGTTACTGTTAAGATTCGGCTTTTATCACAGAATTCGAACCACAATGTGCCTTCGACCCTGCCAACAATCGCATCGTATACCATCACCGTGAAAGCAGTATTCGAATGTATAACATTCTGAACGAAATTCTTGTCAGCAGAGAACGAAAGAGAGTGACSATGGGCGCAGAAGCTGTTTCGGATATATCGGTAGTTCYGTCGTGGGCAGCACCTACCGTGTCGCTAATGCACATCCTGCTGTTGGCTTCCTTACTACAATCTCCATTACCGTTTGCATCTGGTTTTCAAGAAACAATAGCAACGACAACGACGACGGCCATATCTTCGCTCCACTTATTTCGGACGTCGGGAAAATCAACGGCATCTTTGTCTTTGTCCCGGRTCGCTCCGGAACTGTCTTCCGAACGGAAAGCATACGCTGTAKGCATACTAGATCGGATCTTCGGAAAAGAAKCCTCCGGGTCCTGGGACAAACGCCGCGAAGCCGCGAGGTCAACCACCCTGGACAGGAAGGACGGTGACGATGATGCGAACAACGAGACTGCCATCCTCCAGGGCATCCCGGAGCACGAATTGGTTTACGGGGAACTTGGGATCGAGGCACTGGCGACGATACTGGACGCGGTTGGTGTCAAGAAGGGCGACGTCTTTCTAGACATTGGGAGCGGCGATGGATTGCTAGTAGTCGGCGCGGCCCTTCTCTTTCCTGGCTACCTGAATGCGGCCCGTGGGATCGAGATTGTTCCGGAATTGTACGATAGGTCATTGGCATTCAGGGACAAATTTAGCGACATGAGACTCCGCGAAGAGGAGCAACAAGAATTTCCAGAGGTTTCTTTTCGTCTTGGGAACATCTACGAACTATCGAATTGCAAAAGCGAGGCAGACTATTATACCCGGGATGCCACCCTGGCCGTCTGCTTCGCCACTACCTGGTCCAAGAACATCCCCGGCAAGAAATTGGATCGCCTTTCGAGAGTCCTGGGCAAGGGAGGACCCTCAGAATTGCCTGTCGGTGCCAAGGTGGTCATCATCGATGGCRTCCTGGAGCCGGGGAGGGATGGTTATGATTACGAAGGTGAACTCAAGCTCCACTGCCCTGATACTGCTCCCTACTCAGTCGCTCGGTTGTACACGAGAATTTAGCAATTGCAGCAGTACTGTAGTTGAATACGATGGAATTAGAATCATCAAGTGTTTGCTATGAGTTTCTGAATAGAGTACGTTAGCGGATATGGATTCATTCTCAATTATTAAACATATAGCACACATTCAAATTTCTTCCAAGCGAAACAATGGTCCTTGTGTTTCATCCTCTCTTCTCATCTCGTAGTCACCAACTTCACATTCGCAGTTGCTCTGTCCATCTATACACCAGCTGCTGATATTTCTGTGCTGTATATGCGTGCAATTCACAAACAAAAAGATGGATTCATCCATTTCGGGTGCATGTTGCTGATCACCATTGCGAGGCCGATCACCGACCTCCGACTATCTTTTTCCATTCATCGCACCGGTTCTGAAGACCAACACCAGTGTAATCCTGTCGGGTACTCAGCGATAATGTCTGCGGAGGATAACGTGGCTAGGACCATGCGCCACCCTCGATCCACTTTGAAAGGTTGATGAAGTACTCGAACTCGTACGTACGCACTCGTACGGTAGCTATCGTCCTTCTTGAAATTCATTCCAATCTAGTCGAGGTAGTCGAAGAGAGTAGAATCAATGAAGCTGAGTGAACTCGTGACTTAAGAGTTGCTCTTTCGATTAAGAGTTGCTCTTTCGATCGATCGCGCCACATTCAATCAAGACTCCGTTAGTAAAGTTGTTTTTCTTACGGATGTTCTTCTGTGCCTTCGTACGATCTACCGTAGGACATCGTAGAAACTTTTTCCTCAAAATGCGATTCATCGGTTTTCATTCATACCGACTAAAAAAATTCTTTCATCCATAGCGCTTCTGGAGTCCTACAATGCAGTGTAGTGTTGGATGGGGAAATATTGGATGGATGGACCGATTAAACACAACATTCGTGCACGAAGAATGTGAATATTGAGTCCTGGACCGTTGCTAGGCAGTAGTAAACACTCGGTTGCTGCCAAGTGCTACCGCTCGGCAGTTGCACTGATAGAGAGAGCAACATTGGCAAAGTTGTTGTTCGCTGCCGTACTGGCTGTCGCGATGATAGCAARAAGTTGACGTGTGTGYCGTGTCATYATATATAGTCACCGCTCCCCATTTCAAGGCCCCAACACTTCTGTATTGAAAACCGGTGGCAACGCTCACATGTGAATCCTTGTCCATTACCGTGGCAATGATGGTGTCACCTCCATCCATGCAAGTGTYGTTGTCATTGTCGCCCTGAAGTTTCCGCCGTTTTGAAGAGCGTTCGTCGCAGCCATTTTGAGTCAAGTCGACACCAGCCATTTCGCTATAAGTTTTGTTTCGAGAACTTTTAGTAATATTGAGAGTCGCCATTGGAGGTGAACTGGTCACAGCCGATCTCACAAACATTTTTCTTGGAAATCAAAAATAGTTGTGATCTAGTACTGTGCTTGTAGTAAAAGGACCCCCTATCCGTTACTCAAACGATTTTTTCGTGAGACAAAAAATCGTCGTCGAATTTTATGGTTCAGTACGTACGTAGTACCTGTACTGTTTGCGTGGTTTCAAATGATGTCACCGCCATCCAGTTTCGTTGTCTACGGCAGTACCGGTAGGGTAATTGGCTCGCTACCTCAAACAGTTTCACCAGGTGCAAAAACTAAGTTAGTGCCACTACCCCGTCCGCGACCAGGTTTGTTTCTGCTCCAAGCATTCACTCAGAAATTGCAGTCGTCCGCAATGTTGGATCAGGTGACGGATTCGCAACACGGGGTAATGCCTGACTAACTTCAATGAAATCATGCCTGCTACTATGAGCTCTCTGAATGTGACAGATATTGTAGCAGATAGTCACAACCAGAATACCTGATTCTCCAAATGAATTTGTTTTTTGATGTATACTGTGTTTACCATATCTGTTCACCAGCAGATAAACCAAGAAATCCATTCTCAGTTTTCTTGGTGGGTCTCCGGTGGTGTTCAAATCATTTCGTGATGTTTTGAAGCAGGAAACAAGATTTACTGGCTTCAAACAATTCATTTTGTGAGTGAATGTGGTTATCCCCACAATTGCCCCCTGGCAAGATTTTGAACAAAAACAGGGAATCAGTGAAACTGAGAACGCTGCTCTCACTTTAGGCTGGCACCCGTTTTTCCAATATCAGCATGAAACAGAACATGACTCACTTTCTAAACAATTCCTTTTGTTAGTTAATTTTGCTATCCAAACAATTGCCTGCTGGCAACAATGTCTTTCAGGAAAACAGGGTATCATCAGTGAAACTGAGAATGCCATTCTTACTTTTGGTGGACACCCAGTTTTTGCAATATTGGTGGCATGAAAGAGGACACGATTCACTGTCTAGGAACAACTATGTCCATGAGAGATTTTTCTCATCTCGACAACCACCCCTTGGTACTGTAACAGCTCAACATTTTTTGTTGATGGAGAACACAAGACAGACTCTCAACAGTTGTATTTTCCTGCAATTACCTGCTGTGTATCACTTCTTCAGGGGGAAGGTATACCCACAACAATTAATCTGTGCCCACTAAATTGGTGTACAGCAATGTCAAAACCTAAGTGATTCCAATTTGCTAGTAGTAATCTGTTTTACCATTGTTGTTTGTTACTTAGCCTAATGGCCAATTTATTATGTACACACAATCAAGTAATCTGTTTTTGTCATCTAATTACCTAGCAAGAAGTAGGGATTGTATTGCCCTTTCAATAACTTCATCCTCACCCAGAGCAATGTCTGTGTGCCAAACAGTAATTGTGGAATAGAAATCTAGTTTTCTTTTCTTGGATAAACGTTTTGATGATTCCATAAACATCACCATGATTTGGTTTAAGATTCATGTCAAGATTTTTCCTTGCCAGCCTTCTTTTGGAATAAAAACTGTATTCCTCATCCCAATACCAGAGTGTCTTTCAAATTTGTTCATGTATAGGCACTCCTTTCCTGTCATGACCCTCCACAAACAAAAACGGTGGCCAATATTGTCCAAGCTTGGTCTCAACYCCACCTCATCACAGCATGTTTTGCTACTGGTTATGCTGAATTCAGGGTATCAGCACACCAGCCTTGATGTCAAGAGATTTTACAAAATCTACAAGTCAAAGCCAGATTCACCTTGCCTCTTCTTTGTCAAATTGTCCCACACTGCTGTTGAGGCATCTTAGCACTGTGTTTTTGAGCACGCTTACCTTTGTGCCATGCATGTAAGCAACAGTTGCATGGTTTTGTCAATGTACCTCACTGGTTGGGGTCATGGCAAGGAATTTTATAAATGCAGCAAGGCTAGCAGAAAAATAGATTGGTATTCAAATATAAAACACTTAGCGCATGACAGCCTTTTGGTAACAAATAAAGCAGCATACACTATACATACTCCAATTGTACACCACCAGCAGGGCAGACCAAAATAGCATTGAGACTCAATGATCTCAATAGTGTTCTTGTGGTCAATGATAACAACCTACATGTTCATTTTCATTGTTCTTTCCAGGATTATACCATGTACTAGTACATGTACCCCAATTGTTCACCTTCTTGGTAGAGATGGCTGATACTACTAAGACTATCTACGCCTTTGTTCTGTCAATGTTGTTGTTGGTGTTGGCTATGTTATTGCTATGCTCTGTGATACTCTTCCCCAGTTTCTTGGGGAGGAACTTGCAGGATTTGTAGGACTCAGACTTGTTTCTAACAAGGCGTCAGTTGGTGCATCATACCTGCCATAGCCATAACCATAGCCAAAGCTGTCCATATTTATTGTTGGTGTTGGATTCTGTTAGTAATGTCTGAATGACTGATCAAAATTATTTGAGACTTGGGAGGATTTAGGTTTTTCCTCTCATATATTTTGGAACAACCAATCACAAATTTGATGTACAAATATATATTTGTTGAATCTTGGAAGCAATTTGATTCTCTTAAATCTTGGAATGAGCAATCACAAATGCAACTGCTTTTTTTGAGTCTCAGGAGCAATTTGGTTCTCTTAAATACTGGAATGACTGAAAGTCACAATAATACTGCCTTTTGTAGTCTTGGGAGCATGAAAATGACTGCTTTTTAGTCTTTGGAACAATTTGGTTCTCTAAAATACTGGAATGACTGATTGTCACAATGATGACTGACTGTTAAAGTTATAAATGAATAATCTGTTTTTGGTCAAGGTACTAATTTATTTGAAAAAAATGGGATACTGGGGTTTGCATGGATTCTACACAGAAAACAGGTTTCTTTTTGTTTCTTCACTAAGTCCATGTGTGCGAGAAGTCTCCAATGTTACTGGCTACTGTGCACAAAAGATAGTGGTAGTCCAGTGCAAAGTAGCCAATACAAATTATGACTTTGCACTACTTCCATAAATTGTACATGCTGCTCAACAATTGACTTGTTAACGCAAATAGTTACAACAATACATTGCAAAAACTAAGTTAGTGCCAGAAAGGTGGAAAGTACACAGTACTGCTCTGAAAAAAAATTAGAAGCTAGTACTAATCAATGAAAGCACTGTAACTGCTTCTTGTTCCTGATATTCATTGAATTGTTGTGTATGTTGAGTACTATTTTTGGTGGTGGTGGTGTTATTGTAGTAGTAAGAAGAAGATGTGTTCTTACAAGAAACAGATCACTGGAACAACAGCAACAAGTTCTACTAGGGTTCTTCTTGTTGTTGTTGAAACAAGCACAATAGCAACAGGAATGTAAATTCAATTGCTTCTTGTGTAAGACCAAGTTGAAACCACCACATTTTCCAAAGATATTTGTGAACAGTTCTTGTTGCATTGGGAATATTCATTGGGAATTGAGTTAGATGTATTCCCTCAGCAGTATGCTGGTGCTGACTTATTTGGATTTGGTCATGGGTAAGTTTTTAATCATGTTCTTTTGGGCATCAAAATATAGCTGTTGCTGCAGTGTTTTGAGAAGTTAAAGTAACAATCTACTTTAGTCTCTTTCTTCAAAAACTGCCTCTATCCATTAAACTTTCTCAGCATCTATGCTTACATATCCAACAAAATATCCATTAATGTTGATAATTTCACAATCCTGGTACCCATTTTTCAGTTTGACAGACTAGAATGCACATATGATGGCTCCATTAACTTTTGATTTTTCACCAACATTTATGATGTCATCAATCATGACACGTCTACTAGTAACATAACAAATTTTAAGCATTGGGTGGAAAATTTGGTTCCACCTGCAAAAATGCCCTCAACATGTGATATGCCAGTTACTACAATTGGTAAGCAGTACTTCTGAAAATCTGGCATGTCTCTGTATTTTCTTGTTATTTTGTCTATATTCAGTTTTATGTTTGAGGCCTTAATTCCATTCTTAGTGTGATCTGGCAATCTGGTAATTATTGTATAGGCTCGGCCAGCAAATGTACACACCAGCAGTTGTAGATTTTGGGCCCTATTTTTCCATACAATGACTACTTTGACAAAAAATACTGGCTTGCACTCCTGTAGTTTACAGCTGGGCAAGTGCTGAATTTTTTTATCCCACTGCAACGAGTACGTGGCAACAGTACGGGGATCAGTCGTGAGTCCCCGGGACCAAAAACTATATATATATATACCGGAAACTACTATATACTACTAGTACTACGAGTACCAGATAGTATACTATATATATACACATATATATACTACACGGATCGATGACATCACTACATACTCATATATACAGATCAGTATATATCTGTATATAGATATACTTCCTCTATACTAATTCTCAGAAGAAGAATTAGAATTCAGAACAGAACTAATCGATTGGGAGTTCTGTTCTGAAGTCGCTCATCAGTACAAGCAGTACTAAGTCCTACAAGATCCGAGAACTAAGGATTAGAATTCATGATCCATCAGTACTGCTTGGATGTATATTTCTACTATCGATTCTAACTCAATGAATCCAGTATAACACGGAAAGCGTGTGAAAGGAGGATTCATCGAGTTCATTAGTCTTAGTCTCACAATCTYAATTTAGATACAATCTAAACACTACTACTAAAACAATTCAGTACACGTTATTTCGTGCACAGTAATTACTAAATCGTGTTATCACGTTACATTGAAGATGAAGCCAAGCCATTTCTCCTGTCTCTCCTTGAAGAACCCCTTCCAAGTGGATAAGATGAAGAAGGTAACACTTACCATGACCCACGTCGGCGACGACAAGAAGAAGCTCACTACCAGCTGTGTTAAGTTCTCCGGTGACTACGGTGTCCAGGAACTATTCTATGTTGAAGAAGCCTTCGTTGATGTTATCAGTGACCTTGAGTTACCTGAGACGGAGATTGACCGGAAGTGGCAGATGGTATTGGAGCATGGCCCGCGGATGAAGTGGAACAAGCTTTGGGAAGGCGATGCACCCCTTACTACTGCTCGGGAGAGTCTGGAGGACTGGTGCAGCGCCATGATGGTCTACCGAAAGAAGTACGCGCCTGATCAGGATGCACGTGACAATGTTATCGCCTATCTACACTCGGACGAGGTTAAGAAGCCCCCTAGTATCTCGTGTCAGGCGCAAGCCGATAGAATTATTATGTGTTGCGAGAGAGCAAACATCTTGCATGGTATTCGTAAAGAGCTTGACGCTATGGAGATTAAATTAATAGTATTTCAGTCGTTTCCCCGCCCTCCTTGGCGCACTGGGTATAAACTCAGTGGTAGGGACCTATTAGAGGATACCATTGAGGACATAGTTAAGTACATGAACGATC